GAGACAAGGAGCCTCAGAAAAATGTAATAGAGCTAAGTCCTGTGCTCAAGAAGATACAAAGAGGAAAGAAAAGTCTGATAAAGGAAGTGGTGACCTCTTGGCAAGACCCCACCCAGCTAAGCTTCCAACCTGTGAAAAGGAATTAAAGAAAAGCTTAGCAATGAAAAAAGCCATAGAAAACAGAAAGATGGTGCAGAAGTAATTGAATGAGGGGAGCATGTTTCAACCCCAGACAGCAGCTGAAATTGGCAGGTTCGGCTACATGATTCTGGCATTAGAGTCAAGGATAGAAGAACCGGGTTATCGAATATCCCTCTGTGACTAAGGAAAGCCACCGAGGACAGGTGTGTGTCCCTGCATGGAGGTCTACAGAGTCCACTATGTGAAACTGTGAGGATGAAGCCTGGATTGCCTTGGATACCCCAGGATGATGGAGATAATAAAGTCATGGGATACCTGCCGAGGAAAGATACTAGCAGGGAGTGGAATCAGCCCAAGAGAAAGAAATGTGTTTCAGTCAACAGAGCTGAAAGGAGTTGGAGATCTGAAGAGAGCTTTGACATCAGACATGGGAATGCAGAATTTAGAGTTTGCAATGCTGGATTTCAGTCTTGCTTTGGTCCAGCATTCCCTCCCCTTCCTCCCTTTTGGAATGGTAATTTATATTCTATGCAATTGTATGTTGAAAGTCTGTGATCTGCTTTTTCATTTTGATTTTACGGGAGGTTTAAATTAAGAGATTGCCTTGTGTCTCAAAGAGATTTTGAACTTTGGACATGTACAGTGTTGACCTAGACGACAGGGGCTTTTGAAGTTGGACTGAATACAGGTTTGCATTATGCTATGGCTTACAAGCCTATGGGATCCAGGCAGCGAAGTGGTTTGAATAATAATGGCTCCCATAGGCTCATATACTTGAATGCTTAGTCATCAGGGAGGGACACTGTTTGAAAGGATGAGGAGGGCATGGTCCTGTTGGAGGAAGTGTGTTACTGGGGTGGGTTTTGACGTCTCAAAAGCTCCTCCAAAGCCCAGAGTCACTCTTTTCTCTTTTCCTTCTGCCCATAGACTTGGATGTAGAGCTCTCAACTACTTCTCCAGCATCATGCCTGCCTGCCTGCTACCAGGCTGCCTGCCGTGATTACCATGGGCTCAACCTTAGAACTGTAAGCAAGCCACGGTTGTGGTGTCTCTTCAGAGCAATAGAACTATGATTGAGACATTTACTCTTTTCATTTCTTTTTTAAATATTCACTTTTGCCAACACATGTGTAAGTGCACCGCATGCATACCTGGTGCTTAGATATAGGCACCTATTGGTCAGAAGAAGGCATTGAATGGCCTAGAACTGAATGGATGTGATCCGCCATATACTGGCTGGGACCCAAACCTGGGTCTTCTGCAAGAACAAACAAGTATTCTTAACCACTGACCCATCTCTTTAGCCCCTCGTGTGTGTGTGTGTGTGTGTGTGTGTGTGTGTGTGTATGTATGCAGACATGCATGCTTAGATTAGAGGACAGCTTCTGGGATTTGTTTCTTTCCTGCCATGGGCTTTCCAGGGACCGAACCCGGGTTGTGTGGCTTGGCAGAAAATGCTTCTACTTACTTGAGCCATCACGCTAGCCTCTCTTAAGCAAGACTGAAATCCAGCATTGCAAACTCCAAACTCTGCACTTCCCATGTGTTTGTTTGTATTTATGTGTATGTTTGCACATTAATGCAAACATGTCCTATATATGTGTAGCTGGCCTCAGGGACCAGAAGAGGATGTTGGCTACACTAGAGCAGGAGTTACAGGTGTTTATGAGCCATCCAACGTGAGTGCTGGGTTCTCTGGAAGATCAGCAAGTGCTTTTAACAGCTGAGCCATCTCTCCAGCCCCATTCTTCTCTGCATTTTTAATGAACCTGTGTAAAATCCCTTTAGATTCAGTGTGTTTCTCCCTACTTCACATGCACTCTGACTCTTAGAACAGCCTGGGTTGACAAGCCTGGGAGAAGGTCAGTAACACTGAGATGCTTTGACACTTAACAGGGAAATCTGCCAACTGCTAGTGCTCCTGCCTGAGGCCCCAGGGAGACAGGCGCCCCCTACCGACCTGACACAGCCCTCAAGCACAGGCAGGCGGCTGTGGTTGCTAAGCGACCAGGCAGCCTGAGTAGAGACAGAGAGATTGAGCAGTTGGGGGATTTGTGAGCATAAAGACCATTTCTCTCTCCTCTCCAGCACCCTCAACAAATAACTAGGATAGGACGGCACTGTGCTCTGCTGTCTCATAATCTGAACTCATTCTTGAAAACAGAGCTTTAGCAGGTGACCTCAGTCCCTGTGTGAAGAGACAATCTCTTTTGGCCCACACATGGTTTCATCTAGGCGGCCAAATAAGCAGGTTGCTGAAAGCAGAAGTTTCCTGTTTGCAGGGGGTGGAAGATGAAGATTGCTGTTCTTAGCCAACAGGAATTCTAGAAAATCGAGAGTGGGTGGGAATAATTTTGGTGATTAGTCCAGTGAAGTATCAAGCTTTGCCCACCATTCTCAACATGTGCCTCAGAAACTCCTACTTTAGCCCATTAAAATAAAGACTCCATGGGAATGACAAAATATGGAGGATTATTCAGACCTCAGCAGGGACAATGTTTTCAGTGGCTTTTGAATTAGGCTTCTCTGCAGAGAAGTGACAAAGAGATCCTGAGATCTGCAGACACCTTTGAATAGGAACAGAACCCAAGAAGAGGGGAAGAAATAAAAAAAAAAAGGAGGACAGTAGACCAGGAACTTAGAAAGCTTTTTGACTTTGTGCCCTTATTAGTATTATGTTGAAGCAACCTATCTTCATGAGGTCTCCAGGGACCAGAAAGTCACAGTTTTACTTCCAGTAAGATAGTAATCTGTCTAACTGTAATCCAAAGTAGGTCCATGCAGGCCAAGACCATGTCACAATACCTTCTCCACTGAGCCTCACCTCCGCCCTCTCAGAAGATTCATTGTGGCAGGGCCCCCAATCCGCGACAGGTAGGGGGGAGAGCTGTAGCCAGGAGTGTGTTTGTAGCCTTTCCCTTGAGTGATATGAGGTTGAGGTACCTTGTAGTCAGAGAGCATTTGTCTCAGTCACTGCCCCTATCCACTGCAGCTCCACAAAGCAGGATGGTAAAGGGAAGCTCCTTGCTCCCCATGTTTCCAAACTGATCTGGGTCCGGGCTGTGCCTTGGCTCTATTAATAGGCCCCTAACCCAGCCTGCTAGCCCCAAATCCAGATGCCAGGAACCGTGAGTCAGCAGCTAAAAATAACAAGCAATTGCACCCAAAAACCCAATGAGCAGCTCCCCCTGGCCTTCTGCCCTCAAATTTTGGTCAGTCTTAGTCTCCAGCCCTGGGCCTCATAGAGGTTCAGTGCCTAACACTGTCTGGTCTTCCTAGGAAGAAGAGTTTGCAGTGGCTGGCTCAGAATTCTCTACACAGAGCTAGGAGCTAGGAGCATGTTTTGAGTTGGTGCTGGCACTCTGGGACTCTGGACACTGAAATTAGAGGGCTTCAGCCAATTTGTGAAGTTAGACCTGTGTGGCTGGAGGTTGATGGCAGGGAGAGGGGAGGGAGAGGGCAGGGGAAGGGAAGAAGAGGGGAGGGAGAGGGAAGAGGAGAGGAGGGGTAAGGAGGGGAGAGAAGGGAAGGGAGAGCCTGGGCAACTGACAAGGGCAGAAAAAAGTATATAAGGTAGGAAGCCAAGTATATGCCCAAAAGGTAACAGCATGCGGTACCTGACAGGCTAGGGGCTCAAAGAACTGAGGTCAGTAGTCTGCTAGACTGAGGAGTGGGACCAGAGGGATTGTAGTTTGAAACTGAGCTGCTTGATGTGCTCAGTTTAAGGTAATGTGGACCTTCAGAAGGGCCTAGCTCAGATGGCAGCTACAAAGTGGCCTTCTAGTGTGCTTCCAGGCTCCCACCAGCCTGCACTGCTGTTACCCCAACACACACACACACACACACACACACACACACACACACACACACACA